CGTTAAGCAGTTCTGGAGAATCTCTCCTGGGGCCTTGGTCCCCACTCTTTTCTGTACTTCATCTACTCTCAAAGCCTTCAGGACCTTCTGCTGACAGCCCTGATTGTCCATGTAGTCCAGGTGCCCGGGGTGCCCTCAGTTCTGCTTGGCCCAAGCAGAGCTGCTTCTCCACAAAGACAGCCTTTGGGCTCTTCCTTGCCTCACTCTCTGTCCACACCAAGACTAAGTCCCCAGGGACTCCCCTGAGTCCCACTGGACCTCCAGGCTCAGGACCAGGATCAGACAAGATGAGTGGATGGCCAGAGGGAGCTGGTCTTGCCCCCAGCCCACCCAGCACTCACCCCTCCCATAAGCCTTTAGCCCATTCTCCACCAGAAGTGGGGTGGAGCTGCAGAATTCCCCAATGGTCAGCGCTGCTTTGCTTACATTTAGCGCTGGCTCAGCTGAGCATCCACAGTGGTTTCCCTGAGCTGGCCATGCCCATCTCATACCATGACTTCTGCAGAGCAGGGCTCAGACATCAGTTCGCTTGTGACCCCATGAACTGACATACATGTCCCTTGATTTCTCTTCCTCTACTAACTGAGGCCTGGTTCACTGCCACCGTGTACCTGGAACCTATCATGTCCACATTGCAACCTGAGGTTCACAGTGTGGAACACCCCAAACCAAGGGGGCAGAAGTCGTGACCTTCCAACCCTTGCTTTGAAAGGTTCTTGATCTTGACTTTCATCAGGAAAGAATCAAGAGCTCCAGGAGAGAGGCCAGACCATAGTAAGGAGACAAGGGAACTTAGGGATAGACAGCCTTTGTGCTAAACTCATACCTCAGACCAAGGGATGGGCAAGGCTCTGCCTAACTGTCTGTCAGGACCCAGGAACTGGTCCCCCTGTCCACAATGAGATGTCCGAGGCCAAGTGCACAGGGAAGCAAAAGACCATGGTTCCTGAGGTGGAGGTCAGTGGCCGAGCTGGCATTTCCCTCTGTACAAAGCCAGGGCTGGCTTCGCAGACACGTGTCCTCTTTTCTACCTCCTCTCTCTCTCTCTCTCTCTCTTGGTTTTTTGAAACAGAGTTTCTCTGTGTATCTTTGGCTGTCCTGGCACTTGCTTGGTAGACCAGGATGGCTTTGAGCTCACAGAGATCCGCCTGCCTCTGTCTCCAGAGTGCTGGGATTAAAGGTGTGCCATCAATGTCCAGCCAAAGCCTCATCTCTGCAGACTCAGTCCCTAGCCACCCCACTCATCCTTATGGCCCTCTTCAGTTCTCTGGTTCTTAAGGAACAGAGACCATTTGTACAGGTCCTGCCATACTGTAGGGGTGAGTGAGAGACACATCCGCCAATAGTGACTCTTACCTATACCTCTGTACCTCTGTCCTCATCTTTGGAGTGCAGGTGACAACAGTCATTCCCAAGGTGAGAGTGTCGCTCCCTATTTGGGGACCTTGCAGGGAACATGGCCAAATAGCTGCATCCATTGTCACCCATCCAAAGGTCCAAGAAACAAGTGGCTTTCACCCCCTTCTGTTCTCAGCTCATCTCCTGCCCCAGGCAGATGGAGAAATTGCCCCAGCAAGCTTTACACTGCCCATTTCCTGAAACTAAGGGAAGTGGCTTGCTCAAGCCCACACGGCTCTGTGCTAGGCAGAGCCCTGCCCTGCTTTTTGTTCCAGATCCCTGTGCTATTGTGGCCCCAACAAGTCCTCAGGCAGACAGCTGCAGTGTGTGTGTGTGCGTGTGTGTGTGTGTGCGTGTGTGTGTGTGTGTGTGTGTGTGTGTGTGTGTGTGTTGGGGATAGACGCCATGACAAGGTTGTCCTATGGCCAAAAGTCAAAGAAAGAACTCCCAAGCTGTGGGTGGCGAGAGCCAGGTATCCTTGGATAGCTCTGGTGTTGCCTTCAGCCCCGGGGCATTATTCTAGGCGAGTGTCTAGCTACCATGTTGGATGCTCACTCGGGGACAAGTAGCACCCACCAAGTCAGCCTGTGTTCTGGCATCCCAGAAGTCTGGCTCAACCATAGCCTCTCAGCCGTTCTACCCTTGTCCATTCCACTCTGGAACCCATGCATCTGCTCCTCAGAGATGCGCTGACAGCTGCACTGGGGTGGGGGCATTGGCGCCCAGTGGTCTGCGAGGACAGTTGACCTCTGTGCAGGGGGCATGGGCAGGGAGGCTGAGGTTGCAGCTGCACACTCGCCATGGCATAAGGCAGTACCCCTTAGCCTTTGATACCCTGCACTTCAGTCTGTAGTGGGGATCACTGCAGAGGGGCCACTGGAGCCCAGCACAGGCCCAGACAAACTGGTCTGTAATGGGATACACGCTGGCTCCCCAAAAGACACGCTCAAGTCCTGGCCACCTGTGCTTCAAGTGTGGCCTTACTTGGAAACAGGATCACTGAAGACGCAATTGGTTAGGATGAAGTTACACTGTCCTGGGTACATCCTGATCCAACATGCCTGGCATCCTAAGCAGGGCAGCATGAGAAGAGACTCTGTAGAAGCCAAAGACCACGCCACACCTGTAGTCAAGGCGGCTGCCACCACCACCAGCAGCTAAAGGACACAAGCAGTACTTTCCCTTTGAGCGTCTGGTGTGAGCCTGGCCTGCCAGCACCCTGGTTCCCAGGATGATGACAGGTAGTTTTAACATCCTTTCTTACTGCAACTGGCTTGTCTCTTACCCATGAGCTCTGCCTGCTTTGTGCTCCACAGGAGTGAACTCATTTCCTTAGCCATCTCCTGGCTAGTAAGAAAGGAGGAGGGAGGAGGGGAAAGAGGTGTATGAGGTAAGGAGGGCTCAGGGGAGGTGCCAGGGGTTCTAGACTATCCTCTGTCTTAAAGGAAATGCTACAGGACTAGGATGTGGCCATCTGGGAGGTTGCCGGGTGTGGCTATACGAGCCAGCACCATCAGGTGGTATTTGAGGAAATCTTGGGGTGCAGGGGGTATTTGCTGGGGCAGAATGGTTGAGGGAGACACAGCCTCAGTCTGAGCCATTGGGGGAGCCATCAGCCATGGCACCCCAGCTCAATTGTGGGACACTCCCACAGCCTCTAGACCTGGATGGCACCCGGCTTAGCTGCCAGGGCCTGCGGCTTAGCTGCCAGGATGGCCACAGTCACCATGACACCTAGGTTACTCAGCCACAGGTCCAAGCACATTTACCTATGATGTGGTGTTTCCACTCTGGCTGCCATAACTGAATGCCAAAGACTGGGGATTCACACAGACACTCCTTTCTCTTGTGTCTGGAGGTCAGGAAGTCGGCAGGGCTGTTTCTCCCTTCTGGCCTCTCTCTTCAGCCCACAGACAGTCTCTTCTTCCTATGTCCTCACTTGGCCCCTCAGTGTGCTCTTCATGTTTCTTCCTCTCACACCGATGATTTCATTCACTGGCAATATCCTCCTTACAGCCTTAACTTCCAAATACAGCCCCTTTAGGAGTTGGGGATTAACTTCTGGGGAACCCACTCCCTTCCATAACACACAGGCTTACAGAGCCTCGCTGTACAGATGAGGAAACTGAGGCTTGAGGGGCTCAGGTGCCATCTGTTCTGGCTCCCCTGTGGGTGTTCTACTCTCACTATTAGGCACTCATCTTAGGCTGGGTCCTCCCAGCTTTCCTGTCCATTTTCATGCACACAGAGGCCCAGCCCCCCACCTCCATCACCGTGGGACGCTCCCAGGAATATGACTGGGTGGGGCAGAGGCAGGGGTGTGAACATATCTGTGGATATATCTGGAAGGGGGCTGATGCCCTGGGCTCCTCAGCTAAGGCAGGGGTTCTACATTAGGCAGCAAAGAACTGACAGTTGGGCCTACCTCACATTCTAATAGAACAAAAGCCCCTTAAAGGTCCAGGGGATCCCTGGCTGAGGAGAAGGCCACAGAAAAACAAAGGATAGACATGCCGGCTCAGAGAAGGTTCAGGCCAAGCACCAAATATATGCTGACAGGAAGTGGGGACAGCAAGCACAGGAAGAGACTGACGGTGGAGGAAGACTTTAAGATGTAGGGCAGGAAAGTAGCAACAACACTAGATTCCTCCATGCTGCCTTCCTGGAGCAGAGGATTCCCAGACACTACTCAACCCCTAGGAGTTGTGCTGGTGGAGGTATGTGAGCCAATGCTGTCCGGGGCCAGGACTCAGTTTACCTCTTCAGGATAAGGAGATCCGAATACCATTCTTTTTATTATTTACTTTGCGTATTTGTGAATGTGTGAAACCTGCCCACTATACCATGTGAGGTCAGAGAAAAATTCACAGGAGTTGGTTCTCTGCTTCCACTACGTGGGTCCCAGAGTGTGAATCAGGTCATGAGGCTGAATGATGGCTCCACTGAACCATCTCCCTGGCCCTCAGATGACCTGAGGCAAGACAAAACAAAGGTGAGCCTGCACCTAAGTGTGGGACCGAAGCAGGCCCATGCAGCCCCACTCCATATGAAAGCCGGGTCCTGAGGAACCGGTCACCCTTTGATGCCTGAGGTATCTGGGAGGACTTACTGTAGTCCCTGATCATCCAGAGCTCTGAAGGAGGACCAGCTCCTCACTTAGCCCCTTTGCCTGATGACAGGCCGCAGGTACAGCCTCTACCCCCCCCCCCCCCCCCCCCCCGCCCCGAGCAGTCTGCACAGGATAGATCTGCAGCCCTGAAAAGCTCCCCACCCAGGCTCCACCCCTGAGCTCACAGTCACCCCGCCTTCCAGCACCTCCTGCTAAGCTGAAGTTAGCCCTTTGGGGCTCCAAGATGGAAATCCTGGGGACCCTCAGACCAGCTGCGGGGAGGGCACAGGGCCACCCTGGTGTGGGCTTTTGCTCACTGGCTTGCGCTACTCAGGGAGTACAGTAGGCGCCCCGAACCCTATGCGTCTCTTTCTTCGGTAGCAGCGCACTCGGAACTATGTGTTGGAGCTCCTGTTTCTGCCCGGATGACCTGAGCACCGCTCAGGGTGCACAAGGCTACAGACTCCAGTCGTTATGGTAACGGGGCCCGCGCTTTAGGCGCGGGCAATCGAGTGAGGAGCTCGGAATCCAGGAGACCCCAGTCCCGGCTGGCGCAGCTCTAGGTCGCGAGCGGATTCCACTGGGTCCTGCCGGGTGGCACACGCGGTGAGTGACACGGCCATCGCATCAGGTTCCTGATCCCCTGTAGCTTTGCCCCAAACTCCTCTTACCATCACTGAGAGGCAGCGTCGGGCCGCACCTTCGTACGGTGAAGGTTTCACTCAAATCAGCACATAGTTGCAGTGTTTTCACTGCTGTGCAGCCTGGAACAGCGCCTCGGTCCTTCATGGACTCCATTAGTCCGTTATGTTTTAGACTGCATCTCATCCTGGATTGGCCCGGTATTTAACATGATTAAGTCACGCATTTTTAGCAAGAAAATGGTGCTCCCGTACCCCTCCCCCCCCCAGAAGACAGATGCCTCACTACTGGGAAATGTTAGCTTTGACCAAGTTTTAGGTGGTGCCTGCCAGTGGCTGTCACAAACTTACTCTTTTCTGCTGGGCATGGTGGTGCATGCCGTAAAGTCCCAGCACTTGGGAGGCAGAGGCAGACGGATCTCTGTGAGTTCGAGGCCAGCCTGGTCTACATAGTTCCAGGACAGCCAGAGCTATGTAGAGACCCTGTCTCAAAAACAAAACAAAACAACAAAAACCTAAGTAAATAAAGCTAGTGTTTTCTCATTGTAATAGTAAAAACCTTTTGGTTTAACCTTTTGGGTTTTTACTGTTTGGGGGAGGTGCTTTATTGTGTTTTATTGTGCTTTATTGTGTATTCTAAACATGTTTTCAGTTACTAATGTTCGCATACATCAGTGAAAGTGTCCTGACTTTTTCCTTTTTATTTCACATTTTATTCTTGTTATGTTGGGTGGAGAAAAAGAAACACAAGTTAACCAAATCAAACCATTCAGACCTTTCAGACGAAACTGGGATCCAGTTTCCAACAGTCTTTATTTAGAATCTGTATCAGAGTAGGTTTTAGTCACTGCTGTAGCAGCTGGGGTTCTTGGAGAGCTGCAGGAAATAGGCACAGAATGGATTCTCTGAGCCTGCTTTCTGGGTATAGGCCAGTCCTCCCTGAGGAGAGCAGGTGAAGGAGACTCAGCAGTCCCAAGGGATTAGGGACCACAGGCCTGGGGCTGGTCATGAAGACATGGGGATCATGGGGGCCCCCACAGGGAGGACCTCAGAGGGAGTAGTCCGATATAAGCCCATATTGTCTTAGTCGCTATTCTATGGCTGTGAAGAGACACGGTGACCAAGGCAACTCTTATAAAAGGAAGCATTTAAGTGGGGACTTGCCTACAGCTTCATAGGTTTAGGCTGTCAGCAGCATGGCAGTGAGCATATGTTCTAGTCTTCTATTGCCTCTTGTGGTCAGCTCTCCATTGCTCTCAATATTTGATTTGATTAATCCTGTATAGCATTAGTTTAACTTTTCTGCTACTGTGATAGACCACCATGGCCAAAAGCAACTTAGAGAGGAAAGGGTTCATTTGGCTTACATATCCAGAATCACACAGCCCACTGAGGAAAGCCAAGGCAGGGACTCAAACTGGGCAGGAACCTGGAGGTAGGAGCTGATGGAGAGGACATGGAGCAGTGCAGCTTTGCTTGCTCAGCCTGCCTTCTTACAGAACCCAGGACCACCAGCCCAGGGGTGTCCCCACCCACAGTGGGCTGTGCCCTCTCCCATCAATCACTAATTAAGAAAATGCTCTAGCAGTTAGGATTCCTGGTTTTCACCCAGGCAGCCTGGGTTCAACTCCTGGTGTTGGAAGATGAAATCTTCAGCTGGGTGCTAAGGACAACACTCTGGAAGACAGGCAGAGGTAGAGGCAGAAGGATTCCTGAGTTCCAGGCCAGCCTGGTCTGCATGGGGTGGGGGTGGGGCATGTGGAACAAAGGGAACTCTTTAATCTAGCCACCCTATATATGTTGTTCATGGGTGGTGGAGCATGCTGTTAGCCCAAGCACTTGGAAGGCAGAGGCAGGTGGAGCTCTGAGTTTGAGGACAGCCTGGTCTACAGAGTGAGTTCAAGGACAGCAAGAGAAATACAGGGGCTGGCGAGATGGCTCAGAGGTTGAGAGCACTGGCTGCTCTTCCAAAGGTCCTGAGTTCAATTCCCAGCAAGCATGTAGTGCCTCACAACACTCTAAGATGAGATCAGCTGCCCTCCTCCATCAAGTGGGTGTACATGCAAGCAGAACACTACACATAATAAAAGAGAAAGATACACAGAAATCCCCTCCCCTGCTCACCCACAAAAAGAAAAAGAAAATGCCGTATCGGCTTGCCTGTTTACACTTGGGAGGCATTGTCTTAATTGAGGTTCCCTCCTCTAATGACTGCAGCATGTGTCCAGTTGAAAAGAACTGGCCAGCATGGGAAGGGAAGATGTTATTGGTTGTGGGAGGCATTGTCTTAATTGAGGTTCCCTCCTCTAATGACTGCAGCATGTGTCCAGTTGAAAAGAACTGGCCAGGATGGGAAGGGAAGATGTTACTGGTTGTACAAATAACCATCATTGAGGAAAGCCAAGAGCTAAAGCCGGGCGAGACCCTGGAGGCAGGAACGAGGCGAGGCCGTGAGGACACTCACTGTCCACTGGCTTGCTCTCCATGGCTTCCCCAGTTTGCTTTCTTAACAGCCCGGACCACCTCGCCCAGGGTGGTGCCATCCATGATGCTGGGCCCTCCCACCTCGGTTAGTGACCAAGAAACCACCCTACACACATACTTACAGGCAATCTGATGGAGGCATTTTACTCAGTTGAGATCCCTTTTCGCAAATAATTGTGTGAGGTTGGCGAGAAGCTGAGCAGGACACGGAGAATGGCTTCAGAGCAGCACCGTTTCCTCCGAAAACATGCCTGTTAAAACTGGCAGGTATACTGCGTGTGTGCAGTTCTGTTTTTACTTAGAATGCAGAGCCACAACAGTGTTTTTCAAAGCCTTTGTGTATGCCAATGACATTATGTTCTCTTATTTTTATTTCACTCGAAATGCCGACTGCTAAGTTTTGTAGGTTTGGGGCACTGAAACATGTTATGTGTCTGATAGTCTGACCTGGCCCTTGATTATGAGACTGTGTGGCTTCTCTTTCTCTTTACTTCTCCGTCTATGTGTGCTCCTCATGGCATGCCACCTCTCTTCCAGGTAGTGTGGTAAGATGGCGGGAATCCATCTACTGCTTGCTTTTATTACAGATTTAAAAATGGCACGGCTGTAGCTACTCTGACAATTAATAAAGGAAATGAAGAAAACTTGGGGTTTCACAGGCCTGAGTTCTGTCTCCTGTGAATATTTAAATGTTCGACGCCTGAGCTCAGTTTGGGTCCTTCAAAATGTTTTATGAGTAAAGGTCATTGGATATTGTGATCATTAAAATGGATCGACACATTGGCAGGCTCTAGAATCATTTCTGAGACAGATCTGTGGGCATACCTGTGAAAGACATTCCCGATGAGGTTGACTGAAGTAGGCCCACCTGAATGGGCAGCCCTGTTCCACAGCGCAGAGCCTCAGACCGAAGAGAAAAGGAGAATGCTAACTGAGCAGCAGCGTTGGTCTCTGCTCAGAGTTGGTGCCATGTGGTCGCCACACTTCATATTCCTGCTGCCCTGCCTTCCTGGCTGGAGCAGACTGGGCTGTCAGCCCGTGAGCCCAAGCAAGGAGGCCGTCCTTCCTTCCTTCCTTCCTGCCTTCCTTCCTTCCTTCCTTCCTTCCTTCCTTCCTTCCTTCCTTCCAGCCTTCCTGCCTTCCAGCCTTCCTTCCTTCCTTCCAGCCTTCCTTCCTTCCAGCCTTCTTTCCTTCCTTCCTTCCTTCCTTCCTTCCTTCCTTCCTTCCTTCCTTCCTTCCAGTCTTCCTTCCTGCCTTCCTTCCAGCCTTCCTTCCTGCCTTCCTTCCAGCCTTCCTTCCAGCCTTCCTTCCTTCCTTCCTGCCTTCCTGCCTTCCTGCCTTCCTTCCTGCCTTCCTTCTTGCCTTCCTTCCTGCCTTCCTTCCAGCCTTTCTTCCTTCCTTCCTTCCTTCCTTCCTTCCTTCCTTCCTTCCTTCCTTCCAGCCTGCCTTCCTTCCTTCCTTCCTTCCAGCCTGCCTGCCTTCCTTCCTTCCTTCCTTCTTCCTTCCAGCCTTCCTTTCTTCCAGCCTGCCTGCCTTCCTTCCTTCCTTCTTCCTTCCAGCCTTCCTTCCTTCCAGCCTGCCTGCCTTCCTTCCTTCTTCCTTCCAGCCTCCTTCCTTCCTTCCTTTCTTCCTTCCAGCCTGCCTTCCTTCCTTCCTTTCTTCCTTCCAGCCTTCCTTCCTTCCTGCCTTCCTGCCTTCCTTCCTTCCTTCCTTCCTTCCTTCCTTCCTTCCTTCCTTCCTTCCTTCCAGCCTTCCAGCCTGCCTGCCTTCCTTCCTCCCTTCCTTCCTTCCAGCCTTCCTTCCTTCCATTTCTTTTGTCAGGTATTCTGTCCCAGCAGTGAAAACTAACTCCTACAGGTGTTTGCATGGCCAGAACAGGGTGATGGCACCCTAGTCCTCGTAGACAGTGGTTCTTCTGCTCCTGAGATGGGCAGCTTTTTTTGTTGGTGACAGATTGCTAAGTGCACCTGAGCTGCAGTTCTTCAAAAGAAGGAACCAAAGGAGAAGCCGCCTGGCAGCTGCCGCGCAGACAGCTTGTTCTGGGTTCTGCTCTTACGCTTTTGCAAATTACCCTTTCGTCTAAGCTTTAGAGTCTGCTACTGCATTTGTTTTGGGGCCATGTAATAATTTTGAAATGTAATGTAAATAACCAAACATTTATTAAGAAAAAAACTGCTTCACATTGTAGCCAGCTGAACGGAGGGACTGTTTCTCCCCTTGCCTCGTCTGTGCTTTCCACAGGCTTCTACCACATATCCCTGATCAGCAAGGGAGTTTGCTCAAGTGTTGGGAATCCCTGTGGGCGCAGCAAGGCACGCCATGCTAGGCCTGAGAGGACGCTCTTTCCCCCTCAGGTAGATCTTAAATGACTTCAGGACTGGATCTTGAATTGTTTTCCCTTAAGTGTGGTGTCAGCTCTTATGAGGCCCATGCCATGGGGCCCTGCCCCCAGCTCTGGTACTCTCTGGCTCTGCTGTAACCTGCTCTCAGGTCCCAGCATCTTCTACCACCTGGAAGGTGCCTTTTCAAGCCAGCCTTCTGCTGGGTGTTGTTCTCTGACCGGCAGGTCATGTGCTCCGGAGCTCCTCCTGCAGGCCTTGTTCCACCACTTCCTGCTGCCCATCTGTTGGGCTCTGTGAGTTCTGGAGCTGAGTTCATGAGCTCTTGCTCATGCTGCCATACTATTTGTGACATCATCTTAACACTGGGCCACAGCCAAGCCATGGCAGACCTCTGCCCGAGGCTGGCTTTGTGCTGTGCATTAATGAACATGTCTTGCAGATGAGGCCCATGCTGCCTGGAAGTCTGCCTGGGCCTGTAAGCCCCCTGGGAAATCATGTCTTTCAGGGAAAGTCACTTCACCTTCCGAAATCCTGAGGTTTCTAAGGACTCTATAGACTTCACAGCTACACTGACAGCACTCTTCTTAGATTTTTAAAAAGAAGGGGGGGAGCAACAATTGGATGTGCTGCCCACCCAAGGCTTCCCTGTTTACAGAGGCCCTGGGCGCTGCGCGTGCAGGCTCGCTGGCCGTGGGCCCTCTTTCCTCTAGAGGCTTCTTCAGCTCCCCAGAGACTGTGTGTTGAGAACCGGGCGCTCTGTGGGGACATCTGTTGGCTGACGGACACATAGATGCCCTCTAACTCTGTGCTGCTTGACAGCAGCTAGCCTCCTCTGGGACTTCCAGGATCATTCTTTGGTGAGATGTGTACAGAAGCAGGACAGTTGTTCTGTGGTGTGTTGGAAGGAACACACCTCAGTAAGCTTCTGCTTACTGAGCTGCTGTCTATGCTGAAGAGCACTGGCCACCACCCTGCCTGCCTGGTCAGGAGACAAACAAAATAGGACAGGGGCAGCACAGCTTGCCAGGCTGGGTGGACAGAGGCTTCACAGATGGTGACCAGCTGAGTTTGAAGACCTAGCAGTGAGAAATTTCCCCAGTAAGAAAACAGAAGGCCTTTCAGCAGAGAGTAACATGTGCCTAGGGACGAAAGTGTCAGCCCTTAGGCCTTCTGGAGGCAGCTAGAAGTCCAGAGACTGCTGCAGCAGGCCACGGCAGCAGACTCGAACCCAGCACTGTCTGTATGCAGCTCCGAGGAATGCAATTTGCTTTGAAAATGCCCGGAAGCCACAGCAGGGGTCAGGCATAATGGTATCCGAGCTGTCCTTGGTAGAAGATTAACAGTTTGAAGCCTTGTGGCTAGCAGACTGAAGAGGTGGGAGCTGAATGTTCAGTCAGGTAGGCCTGGCTCTAAGTGGAGCAGGCGACTGGAGTTAGGCTTTGAAAAAGGATTTTCTGGTTTTCATAAAAGGGCATAGTAGTGCCTTTCTCACTCTTCTCAAGCAGCTCGAGGAAGGGCGGGTGGTTCTGGCTCCCGGTTGGCGGGTGTGGTAGGAAGGTGACAGGAGTCGAGGCAGCTGAGGTGCAGGCAGAGCGGATGAGACAGGGAAGAATCAGGCCTGTCTGAGCTGCCGCCCCGTTGAGTAGGCTGTGGGAGCTAAGCAGAGTGGAGGGTGGCTAGCTAGCACTCAGCAGGCCCCAGGGCTCTCCCGGCTCCTGAGGCTGGCGTTGTGGCGGCTGTGAGAGGCCGGGCGGCTGTGATTTGATGGTTGTGGAGCTAGGACTTCTGCCAGGTAAGCAGTAGGATGAAGAGGGTTGCCTCAGTTTGTAATCTGCTCCAAGAAACTCCATTTCAGTACACTTGAGGAGCTTTGGGGCCTACAGGAATTGTCCCCTGTGAACCAGTAGTCTCTTCCGGGTGTTGCTGGGGGCCCTTGCTCCAGCTTTGCTTCTTCTCAGCAGCACTCAGACTTCCTGGGCCATTGTGCCCTCCTCCTCTAGAATCAGCGACTTTGCACATGCAGTGTTCTGATTGTGTCTGTATACAGCCATGCTGGGACCCCTAAAGGGTTGGGGAGCCTGCGACCAGCTCTGAGAAGCTTTGTTATGCTTGTCACCTACGGGCTGGGAAAAGGCTCTGTGTGAGAGTGGCAGACAGAGCTGGGGGTGTAGAGTGCCACACAGACACTGCCCGGTGCACTACAGAGTGCCTGCCAGGCCCTGTTCCAGGTGATGTAGTACTTACGGGAAGGCCTGCCGCAAAGCTGTACCCACTACTGATGGAAACCCAGCCTTTCCTGTGAAATGCGCTCTTGGTTTTTTATTGTTTTGTTTTTGTTTTCTTTTAGTCTTGATGACGTGTCATGATTTTGACTGTAATTTTAAATTTTATTCACTTATTTTTGTGTCTCTGTGTGTGCTGTGGCAGGGTTACATGTGCCATGTGCATGAAGGCGCCTATAGACTCCAGAAAAAGGCTTTAGAGCCCCATGAAACTGGAATTACAAATGCTTGTGAGCTGCCATGTGGGTGTTGGGAAAGGAATCGGATCCTCTGCAAGAGGAGCAAGTACTCTTTTTTTTTATTTTTATCTATACTTTATTTACTTTGCATCCCCCCTCTAGTTCCCTCCCTCCTCCCCTCCCAATCCCTCCCTTCCTCCCCCTTCTCCACACACTCCCCTCCCCAAGTCCAATGGTAGGGGAGGGTTTCTTTTCCTTTCTTCTGATCCTAGTCTGTTAGGTCTCATCAGGAGTGGCTTCATTGTCTTCCTCTGTGGCCTGGTAAGGCTGCTCTCCCCTCAAGGGGAGGTGATCAAAGAGCAGGCCAATCAGTTCATGTCAGAAGCAGTCCCTGTTCCCATTACTGTGGAACCCACTTGGACACTGAACTGCCATGGGCTACATCTGTGCAGGGGTTCTAGGTTATCTCCATGCATGGTACTTGGTTGGAGTATGAGTCTCTGGAAAGACCCCTGTGCTCAAATTTTTGGTTCTGTTGCTCTCCTTGTGGACCTCCTGTCCTCTCCAGTTCTTACTAGTATTTCCCACTCCTTTCATAAGATTCCCTGCATTCTGCCCAAAGTTTGGCCATAAGTCTCAACATCTGCTTTGACAGTCTGCAGGGCGAGCAAGTACTCTTAACCCCTGAGCCATCTCTCCAGCCCAACCGCCACTAACTTTTGTTATCAGTAATTTCATGAATAAAATTTTCTGTAAGTCGTAGTCTTGCTTATATAAAGAGCAGCTACTGGCTTAGAACTCTGGGGTTGGTGCGCTCACCCACAGTACACCACAGACAACACCCACCATACTCTAACACACTCACATACCTTCACGGCAACACACACACTCAATACACATCCCATGCCCTCACCCACCCACACACATAGCACAGCACAAAAGCGAACCCGTGTCTCTGGCCCCTGTGCTGTGCCTGTGACTGCTTCCTGTTGTTGATTTGAGCAGAGGCGAGGCACCCACGTCAGCTCGCTTTGGCTCTCTCAGTGTGTTGGCCATCGTTTCTCGTCTTCTCTGTGAAGATATGTGACTAGTGAGGTGAGGTGGCCCAGGGCAGGCTGTTTTTTCTTTCTAACAAAGACCCACTTACAGAGAGTCATACTGCTACCTTCTTCGGGGTGGTAGCAGTGATGCAAAATGCTACTGCCAGGTGCCTCCAACTGCCCTGGGAAAGCACTGTTGGAAGAGGGTGACATTCCGACCTCACACTTGGCTCTTGAGCCTATGTGATGGTGCCTGGCATGGCTGGCCTTCTAAACTTCCCCGTGAGTAGCCTTGTGTAAATAAAGCCAGGCTCTCCGAGCTAACCTGCTTTGTGTCCAGAGGCGAGAGTCACTTTGTGCTCAGCACTGGCGCCAGGGCCGCACTAGATCGGTAACAGTCGATTGTGTCGATAGTGTGCCTTGAAAAGAAACAGGCTCTAGCCGGGTGTGGTGGCGCACGCCTGTAAATCCCAGCACTCAGGAGGCAGAGGCAGGCGGATCTCTCTCAGTTCGAGGCCAGCCTGGTCTACAAAGGCTACACAGAGAAACCCTGTCTCGAAAAACCAAACAAAGAGAAGACCAGAAAAAAAGAAATAGGCTCTCTACCAATATGCTTGGGACTGCAGTTGTGCCCTGTAGGGCCAGCCCTCCGCTCCCGGCCTGGCAAGTGCCTCTTAGAGACTTACCAGCTCTCTGGAAAGGTCGTCTTATAATGTTGGATCTACTGTTTTTAAAAGTGAAGATTTTCCCAGGCACGGTGGCACACATCTGTTACCCTAGCTGTTCAAGAGGCGAAGCAGGAGATTGGAAGTTCAAGGTCAGTCTGGGCAACTTAGCAAGACTCCATGTCAAAAACCACCGGATACTAGTTTTTGTTCCAGATATTGTATTTTGTTCTTAAGTGTTATACCGTTTAAACGTTATTTTTATAACGTTAATGGTCTACTCCCTGTTGCTATCTTCGCTGCAGCTGCCACCATGCTGCCCCCGTGCTTAGAGCAGGAGCTGAGTGAGCTGCTGGCTCGCAAGGAGGAGGAATGGCGAGCTCTGCAGGCCCAGCGTGCCCTGCTGCAGGAGGCAGCCCTGCAGGAGGCTCAGCACCGCCTGGAGGAGGCCCAGGGGAAGCTGCAGCGCCTGCAGGAGGACTTCGTCTACAACCTTCAGGTGCTGGAGGAGCGGGACCGGGAGCTGCAGCGCTATGACGCTGAGTTCGCGCAGGCCCGCAGGCGGGAGGAGGCTGGGCAAGCAGAGGCCAGCGAGCTCAGGATAGAGGTGGCCAAGCTGAGGCGGGAGCTCAGCAGAGAGGCCAGGCACACGGAGGAGCTGCAGCATCAGCTCCAGCTAACGCTGCAGGAGCACCGCCTGGAGCTGGAGCGTGTCCACAGGTGAGTTACCCTGCAAGTCGACTTCCTGGTGCCCAGTGAGTGGTGGTGTGATCTGCTGCATGCTCAGCAGTGTCCTGAGCTTTCCCTGAGGTCTCAGTCCAAGACGTTTTGTTTTGTTTTAGAGATCAGATCTCACTGTGTAGCCCTGGCTGCCCTGGAACTCGCTTTGTAGACCAGGCCAGCCACATACTCACAGGAATCCCCCTGTTCTCTGCCTCCTGAGTGCTGGGTCTGAAGGCAGGTGCCACGTGCTGGCATGTGAGAGGCTATCTGCTGACATTCTTAGCTTGATGGAAGCTGCTGGTCTGCTGAGCTTTAGCAGTCATTCCACATGTCTCACCGAGCATCACAGAGCTGTTGTGTCAGACATGTGCCGTGCCTGCGGCCCACAGTCAGCAAGTGCTGTGGAGCATTGGCAGAGCTACAGCACAGATGCCAGCTCACTCTGTGCGTGCTGTTTTGTGACTCCTCCCTTTTCCTTTTTCTCCAAGCCGGAGACCTTGTAGTCATGTTCAGGTCCATTTGTTTGTTTGGTTGGTTGGTTGGTTGGTTTTTCAAAACAGGGTTTTCCTGTGTAGCCCTGGCTATCCTGGAACTCACAGATGGGATTAGAGTATTCTTGTTTTCTCCTTCTCCTTCTCCTTCTCCTTCTCCTCCTCTTCCTCCTCCTCCTCCTCCTCCTCCTTCTCCTTCTCCTTCTTCTTCTTCTCTCTCTGTCTCTCCCTCTCTTCTTCTCCATCTCCATCTCCATTTAGGGTTAGCAGCCAGGTTCAGGCCAAGCCAAAGTTCTACTTCTTGGAGGTCTGTTGTATGCACCCTTGCAACAGCCATGCGCCAATGCTGTGGGTGAAGTGCAGCCTGCGGTGTATACACAATGTACACTCAGGGCACACTCAGTAATGGCTCCAGATGTGAACACTATGTCTGTTACCACAGTGACAAGAACAGTGAAGTTGACCAGCAGCGGGAGCAGTGTGAGACGCTGAAGTGGAAACTGGAAAGGACACTGAAGGAGTTTGACAGTGAACTTGCTCTGCAGAGACAGGTACAGTGTCCCTGGGGCTTGGCTTTTACTTGGGGCACCCTTTGCCAGCTAGTTTGAAATCTAGATGGTGAGGGGTTGGTTGAGAATATTACCCCCAGAGATGTGGAATCGCTGGGCTGATCTCCACTCTAGGGTCTGTACCGAGAGACCCAGATCTTTCCTGGAACTCACTGGCGGTGTGCTCTTTCTCGCGGGCCACTCGGGAGTCTCCAGGGAAATGGAAACACAGAGCTGTGCAGAAGCAGGCTTATGTGAACTGACCTTGTAGGCCTCGGAGGCCACCCGCACTTTGCCGTCTAGGCTGGAGAACCTGGAACTTGGTTGTGTCTGAACCCAAAGACCTAAGAAACTGGAGTCCCAGCCTATAAGTGCAGAAGGAGGTGAAGTCAGGATTCAAGCAGAAAGGGAGGAAACTCGTGTTTTTTGATTCTTCATCAGATCTGCTGGCACCACCCGCACCAAGACTGGCTCTTCTTTGCACGATCTGCTGGTTCAGATATTGGAAACTGGCTCATAGGCATACCCAGAAACAGTCATTCCCAGCTAGCTGGGAAGCCTTTAGGGCAGTGTAGTTGACCCATAAAGCTAACCATTACAGATCTACCCCTGCCAACCTAGCCCCATTACACATTTTCTATAAAGCATATTTAACCTCCAAGTAAAGACATTCGGAAGGTTGTCCTTCCACTGAGCGTGGGGCCGCAGTGTCGGAAGGTTGTCCTTCCACTGAGCGTGGGGCCGCAGTGTCAGAAGGTTGTCCTTCCACTGAGCGTGGGGCCGCAGTACGCTGACCGCATCACAGATGTGCTGTTCTTCCCAGTTATGGAAGGAAACATTGTCTGTTTTTAAGATAAGGCCTTGCAGCTTGGCAGTGGTGACACATGCCCTTAATACCAGGACTCAAGAAGCAGAGGCAAGAAGTTATCTGTGATTTTGAGGCCAGCCTCGCCTACAGAGAAAGTTCTAGGACAGCCAGGGCTACACGGAGAAACCCTGTCTCAAAAACAAAGAAACAAACAAACAAAAAAACCACCACCAACCAAAAAAGACAAGGCCTTGGTCTATAGCCCACCCTAACCTCAGATTTGCAATTTGCCTCAACCAGCCAAGTGCCTACACCGCCTGTCCAGCTAAGGTTTCGTGAGTGCTCTTCTGATGTCCCTAACTTTAGTATTTAATCTAGATTTAGTAATGCATAGTCAACCAAGTTGTTATATGACAAGAGTAGAAAAGGGAAAAAGATCCCTTCACAATGTGTGTGTGTGTATATATGCACACACATATTCCTTTTTGTTGGTTCGTTTTGTTTTTGAGACAGGGTTTCTCTGTGTAGCCTTGACTCTGTGTAGTCCTGGAACTCACTGTGTGTGTGTGTGTGTGTGTGTGTGTGGTGGTGGTGCATGGCAAGGTGTTGCAGACCAATACAAATAAGACATGAGGACTTTTACATAGTTAAAGCTTAGGCCTTTATCTGGGCAGGCTCCCAGCTACCTTCTGGACTTGACCTGACTCTTCTACCTGCGGCCCGCCACGAGCCTAGCTCTTTTACCTCTCTGCTCTTGTTCACAGCCCCCATTTGTTCCCTCCCAACTTTCCCAACTTTTACCTCCGAAACTTTCGCCTTCTCCCAGAATCCCTCCCTGTCCCTGAAGTTCTGCCCTCCACTACCTGTTTCAGCTATATCAGCTCTTTATTGCAACCAGTCAGAGAGAAGATGCCTGGCCTTCAAGTACCTGAGCGGGTGTGGAAGGACAAATATTTACAAACACAAAGTCATAGAAACAACCGTACCAATACCCTGCCATCACTTAGCTCTCCGCCGCTACAGACACAATGCAGAGACACACCTCTACACAGTGTGAAGGGAAGTTACCCCGACATCACGTTTGTAGAGCTCTGCCTCCCCCTGCCTCCTGAGCACTGGGTTAAAGGTAGAGCCACACCCCCTCACCACCACCACTGCCCAGCGCTCACACTTATTCCTAACAAAACAGGAAAGCAGTAGTTGTCCACATCTGTAATTTCACTGCAGAAGATTGAAAGTTCTGAGGCCCTCTAGACTACGTGATGAAAATTGGTCAGGAAAACAAAACAAAAAAAAGTTGTGTGTGCAGGCCTGGGCACATTCTAATGTGCACGGGTCTGGTGGGAGAGGGTGTGTCTTTTTGAGGCAGAAGCTGTGGAATCTTTAGTTGAAGTGTTAGATGATATGGCTTCAGCCTGGATGGTCAGCTGGGAGGAGAGCCAGTTTCAGAGATGCTGGAAGAGGGGGTTGGACAGCTCTAGAGGCTACAACAAAGGCCCAAGCCAAAGACCGTGGAAGTATGTATAGCTTGTATTTAAAATGTGTTACACTGATTATTGTGTATGGGGCCTACATATACCCGCTACAGCACGCCGTGAGGTCAGGGAGTAGCCTGTGGAAATCAGTTCTCACTGTTTGCAGTTTTGGGTTCCGGGGAATTGAACTCAGGTCCTTAGTGGCGGTGTCATCTCTAGCCAGAGCACGTGCTTGCACTTGAGCAGTCCCTGCATTGCTATCAAGAGCAGTGTAAATGTATCACAGAAGAAACCAGGGGCCTTTTTCCTTTTCTAAAGTTGACGTGTGTGGGTGTTTGGAAGGGATGTGCGGACCACAGAGGCCGGAAGAGGGCGGCCGGCCCTGGCACATGGCTGTGAGCTGTCTTGTGGATGCAGGTGATCAAACCCTGGTCCTCTGGAAGAGCAGCCCTTAACCACTGCGCCTTCTCCACAGCTCAACAATTCTTTTTGTTTAGAAAACAAAGAAAAATTGGAAAAGTGGATGAATCCAACTCAGATTTTTTTCAGTTAAATTGTTAGAAATCTTGAAGTTAGCTTACAAAAAACAAAAACAAAGACAAAAAAACAAAAACGGCAGAAGCTTTATAGAGCCCTAAAAGCTGCTGCCATCACAGAGATTGCTGCCTCATCCTCCAGACGACATAGGTCCTGCTGGGCCATGGCAGGTGAGGGCCAGGAAGAGGAGGTGCAAGCGCTGGTTTCAGCAGGAGGAGAGGAAGCGGTGGGCTGTAAGGAAGTGGACAGTGGCGTAACAATTGACAGGCTCCCGCCACAGCTGTGTGACGCGCGTCTTCTGTGATTGCAAATGTGTGTCTTGAGCAACCTTGACGGTGTCATTCCGTCAGTGCGGCTGATCGGCAGCCTCCTGTAGAATGAGTAGAGAGCACCAGCAGACTCTGCTCTGAAAGCATGATGGTCTGCGAGCGTATGGAATGGACGTGAATTTTCACTGGAAGTATATTTGAAATCTTAAATAAAAGGTTTTTAAAAGAGGAAATGAACACTTAGTTCCTCTGCGCCCGACCCTACTGGCCGTCATCAGAGAGCATGGTAGTAGCGAGATGTCTCCAGGGACCGTTCTGACCGTGGCAGTCATCCAGCACTCCCTGCTAGTCTGGCTCATTCACTCAGTCAGCTCCTAGCTTCTTTCATTACCTGCTGACCTAGAGGTTTGGGGGCCCAGAGCGGCAGGCCGTGTGTGAACTGGTCCAGCGGAAACACTGCGGTGATTCCTCTCTGGAATCAAGACTTCTAGGACAGCAGGGTACAAGAGGACAGCATCCCGGAAGCAGAAGGGGTTTTGTTTTGTTCTATTTTGCTTTGTTTTTTGAGACAGAGTTTCTCTGTGTAGCCCTGGCTGTCCTGGACTTGCCCTCTAGACCAGGCTGGCCTCAAACTCGATACTCACCTGCCTCTGCCTCCTGAGTGCTGGGATTACAGGTGTGCACCACCGCCACAGTAGGAGGTAAACTTTTTGCCAGATGGTGATGAACCATATCCGTTTATACTTCTCTACCTCAGGAGAAGTCAGTCAGTTCCTGGGCCAAGGAGTTGTTGCCATAGCAGAGTTGACCATTTATTTCATTCCAGTTCAGAGCATATTCAGCCTTCTAGACAAGCTCGTTTCAGCCCAGCAAGTTAATGCCACCTAGCTGGTTCTGTAAACGAATCTTCAGAAGGCCATTCACTGCTCAGTCAAGCTGTTCATGACAACGAGGCATGGTAAGACCCGAGTCCTGCAGTCGTGAGCCCACTGAGCACTTCTTTGGCTGTGAAGTGAGTTCTTAGTTGTGGAACACCAACCCTGTGGCTGAGGCATTCTGTGGGCGTAAACTGTAGTATTGGTCGAAGCGTGACATGCAGGGAAAGCAAACCCATACTCAGAATAATTATCTGTTCTGATGAGGACACAGTGACGCCCTTCCACGACAGCAGTGAGCCGGTGTGCTCGCCCTACCACCAGGTCCCTGGTGCCCATCCAGGCGTGGCGCTGTGGCAGAGCTCAGCGGTGGGTGTGCTGCTGGCAGAGTGGGCACTCAGCAGTAGCGTGGGACGTAAAGATTTTCACACCCTTTGCCGTTGGAGAGGTTTGTCCACACACTTGCTCAGTTGCTTTTCCAAGGAGCCAGCCATCCAGCCAGGCCGCTGGCTGTGGCACATTCCTCTATAGAACTGCACATTTGCGCCCCCCCCCCTTTTTTTCCTTCCAAACAAAGTGTGCAGTTGGGTTCACTGCCCAAAGTCCTGCCTGCGGGAAGGATTATCATCCTTCAGGAATGTTCCCGGGAGGGCCGGTGTGCTGCAGCTATGTACCCTCAGGTGGTGCCTGGACAATCACAGAGAGCAAAGCCTTATCTTTCTCTGTGACCCGCTTTCAGGAGCCCCCCTGAGGCCATGGGCGCAGGCTATAGAGGGAAAGCCCAGTAGCAGGAATGAGGGCAAGAGCCGCTGTAGCCTCTGGGCTCTGGGGGCCGGTTTTGTAGATAGCGCTTCTCCTTGACAGCCTGTTGCAGTAAATGTGGCACTGTGGCTTAGTGGCCCGATGATGGGCAGCTGGACCCAGCTGGTAAGCTGGTGGTTTAGAGCCAGGTGTTTGCTTTCCACCAAGATCCAAGGAAATTGAAGCCAGGCTTAGTGGTGCACAACTTGAATCCCAGCAGAGGCTGGTGGATCTCTGT